CCCTCCCCAGCAAGCTACGATAGCAAACCCACAATTCCTCCCAGGGAAATCTGGAAGAGGGGATTGCCAAAGGTGGCCCTTGGTTCCCTTCCTTTCTCTCTCTCTGGGCTGGTGCCACGCCTTTCTCTCCTGCCTTCGGTGGGAGCAGAATTTGCCTCCGGATTGCTTTTCTCGTGAGGCTGGGTGCTTCGGCCAGCGTTCTTCGGAAAGGCTTGCTTTTAAGAAGTTGAGGCTTGCGATGGAGCCAGCTGGAGGAAGGTGTCCCTTTCATCCTGCTGGTTTTTCCAAACAGACTCTTCAAACTTTTCCCCTGGCCCCTGTAATCACAATTTTATGCCCCGGGTGGAGAGCTGCCATGACATGCAAAGCCTAAACCCTATTCTGGCTTCTTGCTTGCCATAATTGTCTGGGCTCCTGCCCCAAACAACAAATAATCCGATCCCACTTGAGCCCAGCCTAACATGTTGTGTGAACTCGGCTGCCGCTATCCTGAAATGGGTCTTCTACAATCTTCTACACAGGGGCTTCGATCAGTCAATCAGTTCCCTTTTCACAGCCGGAGTTTGCACTCTGTGGGAAGGAAGTTGCAGAGGTGGGCGGTGCAGTCTTTTGTGGCAGTCCAGTCCTTGTCTTGGTAGCACAGAATCAGAAGGGACCTTGGAGGTCTTTTAGTCCAACCCCCTCCTCAAGCAGCAGATCCTACAGTATTCTGTCCAGTCTCCAGTGCTGGAGCGCACACAACTTCTGGAGACAAACCTAATTAATTGTTCTCAATGTCAGGATGCTTCTCTGCTGTGATTAATTTGCATTTGTTGCTGCTTGTCCTGCCTTCAAGTGATTTGGGGAATAGGTGGCCCCCCTTTTCTTTGGGGCAGCCCCTCCAACATCAGAATATTGTGCAGAATAGGGTAGAGCATTTGAAGAGCATCCTGGCTACTAGTTTAAATTCTTTATTGGCCAAGTGTGATTGGACACACAAGGAATTTGTCTTTGGTGCATATGCTCTCTGTACTTAAAAGAAAAATTTGTTGGCTCTGCTTTTTAGTTTAGCATATTTGTTTGGTAAACCTGATTTAACCAACTGTGACTGATAAAACTCAGCATGTGCCTAGAATCCCCCACTGCTTTCTTACCTGTAGTAATCTTGCACAGCGGTCACCGACTTGGGATCACAATTAAGGTTAGAATTTCCATTGTTAAACAAATCTGTTATTAATCGGGTCATGTCTGATTTTGCAACCTTTTTCTGCCATGGCTGTTAAGTGAATCACTGCAAAGTGTTTAACAGTTCGAAGTTATAACACCCCTGAAAAAAGTGACTTGGGACTATTTTTCTACACAACCATTGCAGCGTCTCCACAGTCATGTGATTTATATTTGGATGCTTGACACTTGACTTGCATTTATGACTGTTGTAGTGTCCTCGGGGTCACATGATCCCGTTTGGCGACCTGACAAAAGTCAACGGGGATGCCGGATTCACTGACTAATTTAATGCCTGCAGTGATTCATTTACCAGATGTGGCAAGGAAAGTCATAAAATGGAGGCGACGCTCACTCCACAAATGCCTCCCTGAGCAGCGTAAATGTTGGGCTCAATTGTGGGCGTAAGTCGAAGACTCCCTGTATTGTGGTCCCCTGGTTTGGGGGGCCGTCATCGCTGAGTGTTTCTCTCCTTGGTCCCCCTGCCAGGCCTCTGGGGTCACCGTCTGTGACAAAGTCATTCAGGTATTCAACGACATGAAGGTGCGCAAACATGCCCCCCAGGAGGAGCAGAAGAAGCGCAAGAAGGCTGTCATCTTCTGCCTGAGCGAGGACAAGAAGAAGATCATCCTGGAGCCCGGCAGGGAGATCCTGGTGGGCGAGTTGGGAGACACCGTTGATGACCCCTACCTGCACTTCGTCGGTATGCTGCCCCCCAGCGACTGCCGCTATGCCCTCTATGACGCCACCTACGAAACCAAGGAGAGCAAAAAGGAAGATCTGGTCTTCCTCTTCTGGTGAGGCCCCCTCCCCCCCCCCCCCCCTCCTCCTCCGTTGCCTCTTCCTCCTCTCTTCCTTCCTGTTTCTTCCTGTTTCTTCCTTGTCTTTTCCTCCTCCTTTTTTCTCTTTCCCTCCTCGTTTCCCTCCCTCCCTTTCTCCTTCCCCCCCTCCCTCCCTTTTTCCTCCTTTCCTTCCCCTTGCTCTTTCCTTCCTTGCTCTTTGTCTTTCCTTCCTTCCTTCCTCTTTCTCCGTTTCTCCCTCCCTTCCCAGCCCCCCTTCAAAGACCCCTTCAAAGACAAAGGCTGAATACTTCCCTATTTCGGGAGCTTTCCTGGTGGTCATTAAACCAAACCTGCTTCCAGAGGCCAGAGTGGGCTTGGGCTGCCCGCTTGCTGGTGGGTGGTGAATGGGGCCTTATCCCCAGCCTCTTATTGGTGGCTTCCGTGACCAAAGCTGCTTGGCCGTGTGCCATTAAGGAGGTGATTTTCCTCCCATCAGCATGTGAGGTGGGATAGGGCCACGGCTGGCCCCTCCCAGATTGGGACAGAGGGTGTGTGTGTGGGTGGGTTGAGCTCTCTTCCCCACCTTTAACAATAAAGCACTGTAGGGAGACGGCCCCTTAGCCTGCTTGATCTCCTCTCCTTCCCAGCCTCTGTAACTGGGGAATAGACTTCTAGACCGTTTCACTCCCAGCGTGTTAAACTGGGGTGAGAAAACAATAATTAACTTGGGTGATCTGTACGATTGAGGACCTGAAGACAAGGTGTGTCTGGCGCTGGCCTCTCTTGCAGCTCCTTGCCCATCGCAGTTGGAGCCTCCCTGAGAAGAGTGCGCAGGGGAGGGTCTCACCCCATCCTGTTGTCCTCCAGTCTTCCTATAAGTGGCTTAATTTTAAAGGTGCACCTCCTGTCACCAGGTATGAAGCCTAGTCTGAAGGTGGGGAAGCTTCTTGGCTCCTTGGGTTACCTCTCCCAAGCAGCCGTGCTCACGTTGGGTTAGGGGTGACAGTTCATGTGAAGTGCTCCTCCTCCCGAGAATGCCCCCATTTGAGCCACGGTGGTGCAGTGGTTAGAGTGCAGCATTGCAGGCTAATTCTGCTGACTGCCGATTGCTAGCAGTTCGATTCTGATTGGCTCAAGGTTGACTCAGCCTTCCATCCTTCCAAGGTCTGTAAAATGAGGACTCAGATTGCTGGGAATAAGAGGCTGACTCTGCAAACCGCTTAGAGAGGGCTGTGAAGCACTCTAAGCGCTATTGCTATTGGGGGGGTGTTTATTGATGAATAACATCTACCAAATTTGCTTCTTTTTGGAAACCTGGCTGCTTCTTCCACAGCATTGCTACAGGAGCTTGAGTCGCGTGGCAGGGAGAAGCAGGTAGCATAAAACCCTTAATAAAGGAAAAGAAATGGCAAACTGGCCAGTAACATACCCGGTGTGTGAATCCTTCTGTTTCTCCCTGCAGGGCGCCCGAGAGCGCTCCTTTGAAGAGCAAGATGATCTACGCCAGCTCCAAGGATGCCCTCAAGAAGAAATTTCCAGGTGAGAGCTGGCAGGTGTGAGCCCAGGTAGAGGCAGGGCTTGTACCACCAGGCTTCTGGCTTGGGGCCCAGGTTTGACAGGTGGCCCTGTTGGCATCTTCCTTGGTGGATGCCCGGCGTGAGAAAGTTCTCTGCCGCTCCCCGGTGGCTGGAGGGAGGCCCCCAACGTCTGCGGTTAGGAGCAGGGAGCAGGTTGCATGAAATACAGGCAGCCCCCGACTTAACAACGGTTCATTTAGTGACCGAAGTTGCAACGGCACTGAAAAAAAAAAGCAACTCTGGGCCGTTTTTCCACACTTCCCATTTGCCTCGCCTCCCCTTGGTCACCTGATCAAAATTTGGACCCTCGGAACCAGACTCCTATTTTATCCCGGGGGTCACAGGGTCTCCTTTTGCGATCTTTGGATAAGCCAAAGTCAGCGGGGAAGCCAGATTCCCTTAACAACAAAATAAAACTGGGCTTAACCAACTTTACCTCACTTAACAAACGTTTCACTTCAGCGATGTAAATTTGGGGTCGTGGTTGTAAGTCAAGGACTACCTGTAATATCCCAAATTGGGCCGGTTCCTCTGGGCTTTAAAACCCCCCAATCTTCCAAAAAATAAAAAATAAAGGCTCTGGGATACTGGGATACGATACTTAAACGTCGGTCATGCGATCACGCAATTTGGGGGCTTGGCCCACCCGGCGTGTATTTGTTTGCAACCGTCGCGAGGGTCCCAAGGCTACGATGATCGCCGTCCGCAGCTTCCAACAAAGTGGGTGGAAGTTTAAGTTTGCATAATGACCGTGCGATTCACTTTGCAACCACGGGGGGCGTGTGTGGTTAACCAATGTAGCAAGAATCATAAAATGGGGCACGGTGGCAGCCTTGCTTAATGGTGGAAATTCCTGGTCCCTATTGGCGTAAGTCGAGGACTAGCTGTACAGCCAACGTGGGTCTTTCCAACCCCTCCCTCCCTCCCCACTTTCTCCCTGTCTCAAAGGGGGCACCTCTTCCCAGCATCAAGGAGTTTTAAAAGTTGGACATGACTGAGGATTAGCTTCTTCAGTTCTGGTTGGGGATTCTGGGGTGCAGCTGTCGCCCCTTTTTCCCAGCAGTTTAATCTCCCAGCGCAAGCATGGGGGGAGGGTAGGATTTGATAGGGAAAAAGGGGGCACTTTTCTTTGGAGGAGGAAACTACTTCGAAATATTTGTTTTCCTAGCATTTAAGCCAGGATTCTGTTCTCTGGGCTCTGCTATTGGGGTGGGGGGCAGAGGGAAGGGGGTCCACAGCCGGTGTGGGATCGGAGATAATGGTATTACAAGGCAGATCTGGGTATTTTATGGCCCTCCTGTGTCAAATCCGGCCCTAATCCAGCCTGTCGGGCCCTGACTGACTTGCACGGTTCGCAGGTAGTCCTCGACTTACGACCACAGTTGAGCCCAACGTTTCTGTTGCTAAGCGAGACATTTGTTAAATGAATCTGGGCCCCTTTTTCTGACCTCTCTTGTCCCAGTTAAGTAAATCACTGCAATTGTTAAGTTAGCAACCCGGTTGTTAAGTGAATCCAGCTTCCCCCATTGACTTGTCAGAAGGCTGCAAAAGGGGATCCTGTGACACTGCAGCCGTCATAAGTACAAGTCGGATGTCAAGCATCTCAGTTTTCATCATGGGAATGCTACAACAGACATAGTCATTGATTACTTTTTTAAACTGCCATTCTAACTTTCAACGGTCACTCAATGAACTGTTGTAACTTTGACTTACCTTTACTTTTAGGTGTGAGTAAAAGTACTTTTTCGTGTTTTTTTTTTTTTAAAAAGCCATTTTATGGCCCCAGGCTACATGCAGCCTCATGGCTGTCCCTCTCTGGTCTGCGTGGATTCCTTTTATGAAAGACACTGCAATATTTTCACCCCCATAATTTAATATATGTGCACCTGTGCATGCCTACACACCTTCTCAACCCTATCGGTGTGGCTCTCTGCCACACTCCCAGTTTTTCACGCAGCCCCTTGGGAAAATAAATTGCCCGTCCCTGGTATATCCTGCCTTGAAGCAGGAGGGGTGGGACTAGAAGACCTCTGAGGTCCCTCCCAGATCTATCATCATCTAACAACCCCATAATCCCTTTGCAGGAGGGAGTCTGGGCCACTGAATGGAGCTAGCAGAGTGTTTTACTGGCCGGATGCCCTTCCTGTCACCAGTGCAGAGTTTTAATATTCCCAGTGTGCCGAGAGAAATATCTGCCTCTACCTAGGATTGAACTCCCTTCCGGCTGTACGAGTCCAACAAATCTAAACCCAGCCCTAAGGGCCGGGAGTGGGGGGGGGGGCAACCTCATGCCCCGCCATCCCCTCAGATCTCACCCCTCCTTCCTTCCTTCTCTCCCTCGCAGGGATCAAGCACGAATGGCAAGCAAACGGCCTAGAAGACATTAAAGACCGCCAGAGTCTAGCGGAAAAGCTGGGGGGCAGCTGCGTCATCAGCTTGGAGGGCAAGCCCGTGTGAGACCCCCCCCACGCCTCCCCTTCCCAGGTCCCCTGTCGTGCCAGTGACTCTGGAGCTTCCATGTTAATGGCCCCGTGCTACTGTTGGGGGTGGGGGGTTGGGGGTGGGGTGGTCCTTCCTTTTCTCGGTTCCATTCCAATTATTATTTTTTCTGCCTTCTCATCTTCCCTGGCCTGGTTCTCTCTCTCCTCCTGTCTCAGCAGCTGGCTTGCAGCCTGCTGTTCAAATTTGCCAAACGTGCTACAGCTATTCCCCCCCCCCCCCCCCCCCCCCCCCCCCTCCCCCCCTCTCCCTCTCCCCCCCCCCCCCCTTTCAAACCCTTGAGGTGACATTCCTAAAGGAGGGGCAGGGTCTCCATCCCTCAGCCTCTTCCTTGGTTTCCTTTGGTCCACCTGCTTCCTCCAGTTCCCCTCCTCTTCCTCTCATGGGTAGGGGGGGATGGCGGTTAGCAGCCAATGGTTGGGATCGATGGGGACCCTAATTTCCAGAATTAGTCCGTTTTCCAGTGTGTACAAAAAGAAAAGGGTTGTTTTTTTTAAAAAAAAAGAAAAGGGTTTCTGTACGTGTGTGGGGTTTTTTTTTTCCCTTCGAGAAAGTGTGGAATGGCAACTGCGTTCCCCGCCCCTCTTCCCTGTGATGACTTCCTCTCCCCAAGTTCCTTTCCTTAACTGCCATAGTAGCTCTGTGCTTGTCTGTAGTACTGTGTACAAATAAAATATTGTGGAAAACAGTTGCACCCACCTCTATGTTGGGGGTGGAATTAACAAACTTTATGGAAGCAGTACCACCAAGAACCTGAATTCAGTAATAAAAAAAAAAAATGCTACCTTTGGCGTCTCGCCTCGTTTTATTTGCTCGGGCTCTGGGGGAAGAGGCTGACGTCGAAACCGGGGGTCAGTTAGATCTTCGTTGATGGAGCGGAATATTTGTAGCTCAGGGTTGAACAGTGGCATCTGAGCTGGGCGGCTTCCTTGCAGACGTTTCATGACCCAACTAGGGAACACAACCAGTGTTAGGAGGGAGTTGGTTTTGCTGCAAATGCCCCCCTTTTGCACTGATGATGATCCCTAGTTGGGTCATGAAACGTCTTAAAGGAAACCAAGCTGAGAGCACCAAGGGACCTCATGGTCTTCCTTCCCTAATTTGGAAATCCCATTCCCTTTTAAAACTGATGATGTTACTTAGTTTGGTAATGAAACGCCTACAAGAAAACCAACCTGAGAAAGCACCAAAGACTACAGTTAAAATCTTGCGTTGAGTTGGTAGGATGTTCTGTCAAATCCTACCTCAGATCCTACTTTTGTGTAGAACAAGGATCTACACAAAACTTCCTTTTTCCTCCCCAATCTCCCCAAAGGGTTTTATCTCTCAGCTCTGGACTCCTCAGAAACTAAATTCGATTTTGAAATTTTGTGTATTTTTTAAGGTTAGCATTCTGCCCCCATTTTACTTTACATGTAAAAACAAAGAAACAGCCAGTTGGTTCTTCTTTCTCCTCTTAACCACTATCCCAGTTAAAACCCTACATTTGGTTAACTTTATTTGACGAAGTGAGCGAGCTAACAATTTCGCCTTCAAATAAAATTTTGAAAAGGTGTCTCACTTTTTTTAGAGCGATTTTTCCTCGTGGGTCTAAATATTCAACCTTAGATGTATGGACTTCCAACTCCCAGAATTCCCCTGGGAGTTGAAGTCCTCCCGTCTTCAAGGTTGAGAAACAAAGCTCTTAAGTTTCAGGCAGGGACAAATTAAATTGACCACCTTCTTGAACATAGTTAATATCTAACCAGGTTGCCTTCAGGGTTTGGCAGGAAAATCTCCAGCAATCACTAATCTAGGTTTTCTCTTGTCCCACCGAGCTGATTTCCACGCAGGCTTCAACACAAGTCTCAATCCTTTTTTTCTCACGGTGGGTCCATCCAGGTTCTGAAACTCGGGGGGAAAAATTGTGGTTTGTTTTTAAATTTAATCTGTCGTGAGGAAACTCCGCTTGGGTGCGGCTTTGCAAAAGGTAAGCCATTTTGCGACATGATTCACCCCAGGCTTCACACAGACGGTCTTTAACTTAACAATGATTAATTTAATGACTTCAAAGTTAGAACAAACCCTGGAAAAAAAAGTCACCGCCCTTTTTTTTCCCCCACACTGACCACTGCAGCAGCCCCAAGGTCGTGCGATCAAAATCCGGCCGCTTAAGCCACCAACTCAATATGACGGTGGCTGCATCTGTGTGTGTGGGGGGGTCAGGCTTTGGCGGCCTACGAAGCGAACTCAAACTGGGGAAGCCAGATTCGCTTAACGACCGACGTTCACACGCTTAAGTGGCAAGAAAGGGGGGGGTGAAAAATAACCTTGTCTCATTTTTTAGCCACAGAAATAAGCCTGTAAAGTGGGGGTGTCCAACTTTGGCAACTTTAAGACTTGTGGACTTCAACTCCCAGAATTCCTCAGCCAGTCCACAAGTCTTAAAGTTGCCAAGGTTGGACACCCCTGCTGTAAAGCAAAGCAGCTGTAAGTTGAGGACTATAAAGGAGACTGCAAAGGGTCGTGGTTGGTTAGGGCCACCCTTCCTATTTGCAGAAAGCGGGTTCCTTGGCACAGTCTCCTAGGGACGGAACCCCAACCCCCCCCCCCCCCAAGACAAGCGAGTTCTGGCAATGGCCGGGCTTTGCCACCCAAGAGGCTCAGCTCAGCCTACCTGCTTTCAGGCTCCTTGGGCGCGGCTAATCCGGTTCCCGCAGCCCCACCAGGTGAGGTCAAAGTCCTGCCTGGGTGGGGCCTTCTGCAATCTCGATCAGTCATGGGCGCCTTGGGCAGCCCGGAGCTGAATCACCTTGGCGCAGCCAGGCTGGTTCCACCTTGGTAACGTCAGCGGGGGCACCCAGGCGGGGGAGGAGAAGTCACGTCTTGGCCGCCTGGATGATGATGTCCTTGGCATGAAACCAGAGCGGCAATCCCCCCCGCCGGGAGAAATCCCACCTCTCCAGGCTCTGGTGGAGGGATCTCCCTTCCGAAGGGGATGTGTTTAGCTCAAGGTTGAACTGGGAGTGTGCTTGGTGCTCTCTTCAGTTTTCTCGCAGACGTTTCACGACCAAGCTAGGTAATGTCATCAGGGTTTGAATAAGCAAAGTCCCCTTCCTTTCTAGCATTGATGACGTTACGTAGTTTGGTCGTGAAACGTCTGCAAGAAAAACCCCAAGCTCAGAGGGCATTAAGAACCCCATAGTCGTCGTCTCCTCCTCCTCCTCCTCCTCCGTGCACAACCCTCATCTCCCTTCTAACAATGATATTACCTAGTTGGGTTGTGAAACATCTGCAAAAAAACCACCAAGCTCAGAGACCACCAAGGACCCCACAGTCCTCCTCCTCCTCTTCCTCCTCCCCTGCCCTCCCTTCTAGCACTGATGATGTTCCCTAGTTGGGTCATGAAATGTCTGCAAGAAAACCACCAAGCTCAGAGACCACCAAGGACCCTACAATTAATCTCTTGCATTAAGTTGATAGGAGGGTCATTTCTTTTTTCTTTTCTCTTCTTTCTTTTTCTTTTTTCTTTATTTCCTTTCCCTCTCTGTCTTTCCCTTTCTCTTCTTTCCTTTTTCTCTTCTGCTTCCTCCTCCTCCTCCTCCTCCTCCTCCTCCTCCAGAACCCCCACTCCCAAATGTCTGTGGATTGACTGAAGTCTCTACCCAGTATTCCTTCAACTGCCACCTTCACGCTCGTAATGCTGAACTATTCCAGAATGTTCTCGTTCTCTTCCGCTGTCTCTTCCCAACCATCCCGCGAAGTAGGCCTTAGAATTCACCAGTCCTTTTGCATAGTCCAAAGGATAGTTGCATTTAACAAGGTGGAATAATTCCTACGGAGAATAATCCCATTTAAATAAGGACTCTGGTCGTTCGCAATTACAGCTTGGCTATTTCATTAGACTTTTACAAATTGCGATGGCTTGTGTGTTTGACGGGAACACGTTAGAGCCCAGAAGCTTAGCGTGATTCAAAATTAAACTGAAAGCAAGCGAATTATATTATTTTTCGGACAGTGCAAAATGACTTTAAAAGGAAGGCAAGGAACGTCCGTACGTGTTCTGGGAATTGAAGTCCACAAGTCTTAAAGTTGCCAAGGTTGGACACCCCTGCTGTAGGCACTCTACTGTACTCTAATAAAGTGATGCATTTATTTATTTTTGCTTGTTAGGAAAAAAAAACACCTCAGATCGCTTTATTATTCTGCATTTTGTTATTCTGATCCTTCAATACTGTGACCCGCAACCTTGCGGGGTAGGCTTCATGACCTCACCGTTGCCTCTTTAGCTCAATCCGTTTTGCTCAGGGGGCTTAACCAAGTCTCCAATGCAGAGCTAGCTAGCTTTGCGGTCCTTTGAAAGCATAAAATAAAATAAAAAAACATGAGTAAGGTTATTTTCCTGCCGCTCCTTCACCAGCCAGGAAATTCCCGTTAGAATTCAGCTTTGGGAAAAGAAAAGAAAACATTGTTTGAAGCTGACGTCATCCTTTCATAACAGTTCCTATAACTCGCTGCAGGGTTTTGTGTGTTGTGTGAACCCCTTGCGGCTTGTTCAGGGAACCAGGGCTAAGCAGACCCTGATTCTAGATATGGTAGAAGGGGGTCTTCCTATTTTCCAAAGCGCCAGAAGGCAGGACAAGAAGCAACGGATGGAAACTAATCAAGGAGAGAAGCAACCTAGAACTAAGGAGGAATTTCCTCAACATTAACCAGTGGAACAAATTGCCTTTGGAAGTTGTGGGTGCTCCATCACTGGAGGTTTTTAAGAAGAGACTGGACAACCATTTGTCTGGAATGGTGTTGAGTCTCCTGCTTGAGCAGGGGGTTGGACTAGAAGACCTCACAAGGCCCCCTCCACAATAACTCATTCTGTATTCTTGCATTCAAAGATACCAAAAAATCCCCTTCCAGCTCTAGGATTCTATGTTCTATCCTTGAGGGCCAAAACTGGTGGCAGTGGAAAAATAATGGAGGCTTTTTAAAGAAGAGACTGGACAGCCACTTTGTCTGATATGGCATAGACTAAATCTTCTGTTTGAGCTGGGGGTTGGACTAGATAACCCCTGAGGTCCCTTCCAACTCTGTTATTCTGTTATAATGGACAGGCTTTGTGTCGTTCCCACGCTATATCCTTAGCTAAACTCAGGAGAAAACTGGGTGTATCGGCTTTCAACCTAAACCAAATCTCCATTTTAGGGCATCTCTTGCCCTGCTCTGAGTAAACTCGGCTCCTGAGCATGTGTTGAAAGAATCCGCTTCCTTTCCTCCTTCTCCTGAACTCGTGGTTCAGCCTTCACAACCTAAATTGGTTTCTCTCTTCATGACTGCATGCCAGATTCTGGTCTCGGTGGCTGAGTTTCTCAAATGAGTCACGCATGGCATTGAACCCACGCAGAAACTCAGGGTGTACCTTAAAAAAAAAATGTTTAGAGGGTGCACCAGAGCATGTACAGAGTTCCCTCCCCCACCCCACCCCAGAAGGGAGACCCGAGATAGCTGTAGCTTTTGCATGCAAAATATATTACTAAAAGAGATGAGACGCTGTGGGAACTCCATCCCTGGATGCTTTGAAAGAAGAAATTGAACAGCCCCTTCTCTCAAATTGTATTGGGTCTCCTGCTTGGGGGGGGGTGGGGGGTTGGACTAGAAGACCTTCAAGGTCCCTTCCAGCTCTATTCTGATTGATTGATTGTCTAGCGGGAGCGTGGAAGCACACACTTGAACTCTCCCAGTCTGAAAAATGTAGGGATTATATGCAATTTCGTTAGAGAAAGGAAGTGAGGTCATCCGTTGCCCCAAAATTGT